CGTGCTGATCAAGAATATATATACTTTATGGGGTCTGCGATGATTCCTTCTGCCTATTACATACTTTTACACAAAAACATTATACCCTGATTTCCCATTTTCAATGGGTTCAGGGTATAAAAACAGAATGGTCTGTGGGAAAGGCTAAACACGAGTAACGACGACAAGGATGTCAAATCGAAGTTCCTCGAAAACATTTTGCAAACACTTTTCAGTGCCGGTCGGTCGAATCCGCTGCAGACTGCGACTCGCTGAGGGATCAACAACGTCAATTGCCTGACCTAGAGCCACGGAGCAAGTTCTAGGTTGCGGCAATTCAATCGAAGGACTGCACCGAGGACAATTCATTTGCCGTGCTTGAATGCAATGCCAAACAAAGGCTTTTCTCTTCAGGCCAAAAGCCAATTCTCGCCACGGGCAACTGCAGCCACGGCTCCCGGCAATCGCCAGCCAAACAGCCAACCGATTCGCGGAGTGACTGAGGCGAGGCTCACGTGCCGGGCTGCCTCGGCCTGTCGGCTGTTTGGCCTGGCCCTGACTTGACGTGCGCATTGACAGGAGTGCCCTCTGAGGGCTCCATCAATATTTCAATATTTGACCGAGCCGTCGTAATCGACTGCCATCGATTGTGTCTATCCCCAGTGAATTATTGATGTCGCCCGAGCTGCAGCCCCTAACTGCAGGCCTAATTACACAGAAAAAGAGCCGCCCAGTGGGTCGATTTCGAGTTGTGTTTGCACCAACCAGCCAAGGTGTCAATTTATGTAAATGATGGTGTTTCTATTTGGTTTTCGTCTAGGGGGTCTAGGAAATGCTTTGACTAATGTCCCATGTCGTGCTACTGCACTTTGGCTCACCTGTGACCTTTGCGATGTGTTGCGCCCGCCTCTGCATCGCTCGTGCACACACCAGACACTGAAGCTGAACCTGAGCCAGTGCCTGCGGCTGCACCTGAACTAGTTCCAGTTCCAGTGGCAATGCCTGCAGTTGCTGCTGCTGCTGCTGCTGCCGGACTGGATTCCTGCTCGAAGGAGGGATTCGTGTACTGCTCTGTATGTGTAGATGGTCGCTTGGCCGACATAATGTTGCATTTACGTTATAAAACCAATCATATGACACGACCATTCAATCAGTACGTTCGCCTTGCTCCTGTCCAAAGGCTATGTCATTGCACTGCAACTGCAAAAGAAGAAGAAAAGAAATGTTATAGGTTATATAAAGTAATATTAGTATATTAATAAATGCCTTATAGGAACTGATAAGCAGTTTTAGTATTATTTTAAAAATACTGCAAAAATTAAAAATTCAATTCATATATCTTAATCTTGAATTTATGAATAAATACTTTAGTCCATAAAAATCCAAAAAGAGAGAATACCTGCAATCTGTTTGATATGAACTCTATGATGTTATTTATTGACTGACTAGACTTTACCAAAAGAATACTGCATAGTAAATATCATACCAAATCAATTGCTTTATTTATATAATAATGCAATGAGTGATAATTTAGATGATATGAACCATAGATTATGACATAGAGATAATATAATACAACCCATTAATCTGCCACTCTATATTCACAATCTAATAACATCAGAGATTCGTTATTTATTTCTGGACTCTTAAACATATTCAAAGAATACTAGAAAAATTCTCGAAATTACCAGACAAATACTGATTATAATTACAATTTTAGTCTAGATGTACAATACAGAGGAGGATATGACATTGGGATAGTTTACTTTAATCCATTTAAGCTGCCATTGTATTAGCAATATGATATTATCAGAGAGTTTCTATTCAATGACGTATTAGGAACTTCATTACCTTTATCTTGAAACATTGCACGTAATGCGAAAGAAAAGTAATTAAAGAAATAGAAATGCGATGCGTTTGGAAATACAAATGAGCTGACAATTGACAGTGGCACTTAGACTTACATGAAACCGCCCCTCCGACCGCCCGCCCACTTGGCCTGACTGGGAATGGGATCTGATATGCCAGAACTATGAGCGGACTTAACACATGACTCAAATGAAGTATTTTTCTGTTGCCAAGAGTCAAGAGCATAATCGCACTTCTATAGAAGAAGAAGAAGCAGGAAGAGAGTGGAAGACAGAGGGGGAGCGCATACGCACATTTCTTGTACAATTGACTTCCGGGTGTCCTGAAGTGTTGGATTCTATTGCACGACTAATTGTGCCTTAAATCTTTGTGCCAGCCAACTCGACAAGTGGCCATGAGCTGCTGCAGAGGCTGGCTGCGAAATAATTACGGAAGACGCCAGGCAGTCAGCACTTTAGTGTGGTGCCAAGCACATCGCACACCAACCACACCACCTACTGAACCACTGAGCTGCACATATAAGGCAGCTCGTGTCGAGGCTGAGGCTGTGGCTGGGACTGGGACTGGGGCTGAGGCTGGTGCCGTTTCAGATTAAAAATACACACGTTATGTGACCATGTGCTGTGGCTGTGTGGACTCGTTTCTATGAAGGGCTGTGTGAGGATGAGCCGGGAGCCGCTGGCTGGGAATGAATTGGCAACAAAAGACGCAGTAACAAGAGCCGACGCGACACGACAGACGTCAGCTGCTGATTTCCCTTTCATTAATATGCGGCTCAGCAAAGAGCGGCAGCAGCAATAGCACTTGAACACGCCCACAAGCAACGCCCACACTTACACTATATACATATATAACTTTATATATAAATCAACGTGTGTGTGTGTGTGTGTGTGTGTGTGTGCCGGTCTTTGGTCATTGCGGAGCGCTATCGATTGGCAAATATGAAAATCAGCAAATGGCCAACATTCCACCTGCTGTTCGCAGTCGCGTCGCTCCGATCCCCGCAGCGGTCAGCGCATGTAAATTGCATGGCTAATTGAAGATTTGCCGATGGCTAACTTCTGGCTCGGCTCTCGGTGCGGCTCCGGTGCGGCTCCGGTGCTTAACCGTAATTTACGGCTTCCAATCTGACCCATTTGTTTTGGGGCAAATGCCCGGCTAATGTTCCGGCCGGATTGCATTTTGTCAGGCGCTGCCCACTGAACCAGTTAACCAATTATGTGACGCTCTTAGTGCATGTGCCCGGCCCCTACCTCGCCCTAGTCCTCACAGTCCCCTCCACTACCTATATATATGCCCTCTAGTATATATTCATTCAGTTGGTTATTCGTGTTGACCCACAAATGCTTCAGCTTATTGCTTTCATGTTTTCCATTTCTCGTGTCACAGCAAAAATGTTTTCGCCCGTCTCGCTCGCATCTCGATTCTCGCAGCTGCGAGCATCCTCCAATGACAAAATGTTATAAATTCCTCTCGTTCATTTTTCATTTGCTTCTTTTACATTTTTGGCAAGAGGCCAATGCAATTTTTCGGTTTTTTTGCTTCGCTAGTTCGAGAGTCCCAAATGGAGGAGTCACAAAATGAATTAAATGCATCAATATTGATGGATTATAATTGAAAATCTCTTTTCCACAGAGGGATAGAGGGATACAAAGAGAGAGAGGGAGACAGAGAGAGTGCAAATAACAAAACGCTTTTGTTGAAGCTTTCGTTACAGCACTTATCGCCAGAGAGGCAAGGATTAAGCATTTAGTTATCGCATTTGCTTAGAGATTATACTTGAAGTGTAATCATAACATCAGTGTGACAGTTGTTCAGTCTGTGTGTAAATATGAATGGAACAATCGTGTCTGCGAATGAGACAGTCATAATGGATAGACGTAAAAAGCCCCACAAAGTTTATATAATATATTCTTGATAATGATCAGCAGCCGAGTGGATCAAGCACGAAGAAATGGAGATCAGAATGTATAGAAGCTAGAATTGATAGATACTTTAAAGTAGATCAAATGCCAAGAAATGAATAACTCCCGACTGAAACATTATTTCTGGATTTTTTATAACTATGTGTGATATTTAACTGTACCTATTTGCAATAATATATCAGTAAATTATAGAATAACTATAGAATTTAAGATTGTATTTAATTTCGTTCTGAGCCAAGAAAATTATGTTTATTATAAAATCTACAGAATTCTTTGGGTTTTTTCCATTCTAAAATATTATAACTTGAATGCGCACATTTTCACAATCTAGTTAGGTGAAATAGTGTCGATACTACGAACATAGCCCGAGCAAGTAATTATACTCCAGATATGTTTTTGTTAACACACGCAGCTGACACTCCTGACATTTGTTTTTTTTTTTGTTTTGTGCGTAGTGAAAGTACAAAAGTCGCAACGACATGAAGTCAACTTATGAATCCACTTGACTCTCTGGCAATTAAAGTTAATATGTAGCATTAAGTGTGTCCCAGGGGCCACAAGCGGCTTGGGAGCTGTCCCCTATGAGCAGCTGCTGCCGATCAGCTGATGGGCTTTTCGTGACATCGATTATGGTCGAAATTACATAACTTTTGTAATGTATTTTTCGCGTCTCTCTTGGGTTTACAAGAGGAAATGCGCAGATATTTGTAATGAAACTTTTTGCGAAGTCAACATATTTGCGGTTAGTTTAAGCTTCTGTAATGTTACAAGACTATTTATCATTATGTTAATTTACATATTTTAGTTTTATTTAAGGAAGCTTTAATAACATTATCAGTATAAAATGCTCTTTGTAAGCTAGTTACTAATATGTTGATTTCCATCCTCAATTTTCTTTTGTTTCTCTGTCGTTCTTTCTCTTTCCTTGTTTAAGTTTGTGTAACTTCATATTTTCTCTCTCTTTTCCTGGCGGTAAATTGTTTTTGTCTCTTTCTCTGTCGTTCTACTGATCTATAATCTTGTCTAAATTCAAATCTCAAACAGTTATTATAATAATTGATAAATTATTTACTATTAAAAACCCATTCGAATTAAATCTGTAGTTAAAGATTCTCTTAAAATTCAATTTTAAATTGGGAATTAATTGTTTTCCTCTGCTGCCGCCGGTACAAATGGAATTGCTCTGAGAGTGAATTAGCAATCGCTAATATTAGATATTCAAATTGCGATAGGTCAGCTGCTAATTAAGTGCAAGTCATTTTGCTGTTCGGTTGAGTCAATTCGTTGTTGTTGTGTGTTGCCCATTTTTACGTTCAGTTTTCAACATGATTTGCTCCACTGTTGATGGCCATTTGTTTTTGCATAACTTTTACATGACACACATGTAGTCCAGTTAGGCATGACACACTGTCAACCAATGTGGAACCGCATGGCCTTCGATGTTGGCCAAAACCTGTACCGCAATTACCAATGGCCACAGATATTGTAGATACAGTTCGAGATATAGATACAGTAAGAAGATACTTTTTGAATTGTAGATACACCAGATACCAGGGATAGAATTATATAGATGCGGATAACAGATATGGATAAATTTGATAATATTAGCTTAACAGATGCACATTGAATCTCAGATATATAGATACAGATACAAAATCCACAAAGTCAAGTAGAGTAATGATAGATACGTAGATACAAGTTTATACAATTGTTTCTAGATGCAAAGCATAGATAAACAACCTCAAGTAAAGTATAGACACGTCATAGATAAGATGAAGATACAAATGCAACTATGGATACATAAAACTCGATATACAAGTAGAAGCTTACAGATACAGATACAGTATACAGATTCAATACATTTATATAGATTCAAATACAGCCTAAATACAAATTTATACAATTGTTTCTAGATGCAAAGCATAGATAAACATCCTCAAGTAAAGTATAGCTACGTCACACAGATGAAGATACAAATGCAACTATAGATACAGATACAACATAAACATAAAACTAGATATATAAGTAGAAGTTTATAGACACAGATACAGTATACAGATTCAACACATTCATATAAATTCAAATACAGCTCTTGTCTAGATACATTTGCAGACACACCCAGCGGCTGCCCGTCAGCTCTATAGTCGAAGCCCTATTCGAGTAAATCCTAATGTCAATATGCAAAAGCCAAAAGAAATAACGACCAAATAAGCATTCATCGTTTGCAGCTCATGATTAACGGAGCGCTGGCTAACTGTACCGTTGCCAATAATCGAGGCCAATGCTTTTCGCAACAAGCACAAGCACAGCTCTAGAACAAAGGCAAGCATTTCGCCAAACAAGATCAACAGCGAAGCCTCGCAGCAAAATCGCAACTGGCGAATGGCGATTGGCCGTTCGTTCGTT